GAAAAAGAGGGAAAATCGGCCAATAATTAGTGTTTTCAAGAACGTTCCACACCTTTTTCGATTTTTATTTTAGTACCAGTGAATAGAGCGCGAAAAATTGCGTCTAGCATGTACGTGTCACATTGGTTCAAGATTTCGTTTGGAATGCAGAGGCGACACGGTGAAGGATTGTGGCCGATTTTTGACTATTTTTCCTTTTTCTCTTAATATTTTTGCTCAAAATGCGCTCACACTGCATTTTGGGATATTACATATTTGGATAGAGCAACTATTTTCACCAATAACTGTTTAGTTTCAAGTTTTTTGAATGACTCTTTCTTGGTGAAAATCTGCAAACTATCAATTGGACTGACCTTGACCAACCTTCAGTTTTTGGCATTCAACTCCACGAAATGTTTACTTTTTCTAACTTTAGATCCCATATTCGTGATCAGCACAAAATTCTGAGTCAGAAAAGGTGTGTTTCGAAAATTTTAGAGGAAAAACGTTTTTCGATGTTCCAAAGGGGGACGTTTGCTCTTAAATTTTTCGATAAAAATCAAAATGCGATTTTTGGAAAAGTGAGACGTCTAAAATACTCAGAATTTTACGCTGATTCCGAATGTGTAAGTTTTATTGGGGTGCTCGATACTAGCTTATCCTTCCCCGTCCTTTTGTGATGAGAACAAATAAAACTATTGTCTGAAAGCCATCTAACTTCGATATTACGCTTTAACACCCATTGTCCCCTGGAACAGACATTAGTGGATGTCGTCGAATCTCTAAAGCAAGGGACGACACGTCCGATCAAAAAACGTACTACTTTCCAATGTAAGCTGATAATATAAGGTAGCGGGTGTCAACAACAAAATTATTTTTCATCAAATCTAAACAACGGTACACGCGTTTCTGGTTTGCTTTACATAATCAGCGGTGAGATGTAAAACGTTATTTTGTATTATTCTTCATATACAGTTATGTTTAGCTTAATTCTGTCAGTTTTATCTTCATAATTGAAGATACTCATGTAGTATGTCCGCTGTGACATTTATTTTTATTTTTAAACAACAGCATATAGAGTATAGTGATGCCGCTATGTCCTCCAAAATGTCTAATATGTCCAAAATGTCCAAGATGGACAAAATGTCGTTGTTCATGTACAAAAGCTGATTTGAAAGAACAAATACTATTAATCCTGACGATATTATCAGTTGTGTTAGGTGTCGCTATTGGTATTGCATTAAGGAAAATTAAATGTGAAACAGGTATAATACTTATCCTCTTATAGTTTCAAACATTGCACATTTATTTCTGTTGTATAGATGAACGAATTAATGGTTGTAGGATTACAAAAGAAGATATAACCTATATTCAATTTCCTGGTGATCTTTTTATCAATGTATTAAAAATGTTAATTTTACCATTGATTGTCTCATCGATTATATCCGCATTGGCCCAACTGGATGCAGCAACAGCCGGTAAGATGGGTGTAAGAGCAGTGATCTATTATTTAAGTACAACAATTATTGCTGCCATTATTGGCATTATATTGGTATTAACAATTAGACCAGGAAAACGAGGTGGATCAGTGGAAAGAGATCCGGATGCAAAATCAGCTGAAGGACGAACAGCAGATACAGTTTTAGATTTATTCAGGTAATGTTAGAAAGTATCTGTTGTATGTGAAACACGTAATATAATATTATGTTGTTTACAGAAATATATTTCCGGATAATATAGCAGAAGCAATGTTTCGATCGGTGAGTATATGCACGTACATTAGAGTTTGGTCAATATGTATGTGCGTAATGATCATTTTTTTGTATAGTCTGCAACAGATTTAAAAGCGATAAATGTTACGGTCAAGATGGTTGTGAATAGTACAATTGTGACAGAAACAAGAAAAGCTTTGGAAGCAAAAGTGGTGAAAAAAGATAATATCAATGTGTTAGGTTTATTGGTATTTTGTGTATTTTTTGGTATTCTTATTAGCCGTTTGAAAGAGAAAACAGTTATACTAAAACAATTTTTTGAAGCACTATTGGAAGTAGTTATGCAATTGGTTCGATTAGCCATGTTGTAAGTATAGCACAATTTCAAATATAAAGTTCATAAAGTTTAACGAACATTTTTGCTCGTTTTTAGATATAGTCCAATTGGTATATTCTTTTTAATTGTCGCCAAAATTCTTGAAATGAAAGATTTGGCTGCATTTGCTGGTAGCTTAGGACTTTATATGGCTACCGTTCTGACTGGTCTATTTATACACGGTTTCATTGTTCTACCATTAATATTATTTGTTATAACACGACGCAATGTATTTAAATTTACAAGTAGAATGAGTCAAGCATTGTTAACTGCATTTGGGACAGGATCAAGGTATTTTCTTTGACATCGCTACAGTTCTAACGATGTTTAAATCCTGTTTATGATTATCTTTTTAGTTCAGCTACTCTTCCTGTAACTTATCGATGTGTTGAAGAAAAAAATCACGTTGATAAACGTGTATCAAGATTCGTTTTACCGATCGGAGCTACCGTGAATGTGAGTAGCTAAATGAATCTTTGTTAGACTGACATATTAAACTCATTTTTATTTTCAACTGCTCTTAGATGGATGGGACAGCCTTGTACGAAGCCGTAGCTGCTTTATATATTGCACAGTTGAACGATATACCGTTAAATGCTGTTAAAATAATAGTGACAAGGTAAACTATTTCTGTCTTTCATCTGCAGAATAGAGGTCAAAATGTACACACTACAAGAATAGTTTGTGATCCTAAAGAAAGAGGTTTAGATAGCATTAAAATTCAAAAAAAGAGTTTTTACTTTGTTTTCAAAAAAAAAAGAAGACTGGCAGTTTCAGAAACACCGAACAATAAGATTTTTTCTCTTTCTTTCGACCCTGAAGAGCAAGAGACCAAAGTCGGAAGTATTTAGTAACCATGTCCAAGAAATTTACTTGAGGAAGCCTAAAACTTGAGTAAAATATCCAGAGTGTCATTATAATCTGCACCTTACTTCATGATGAGGAGTTTTAGATTTAGACCGAAAGTCTGTATTCTGACAATTGTTCTTCTATTATCATGTGAAGAACTTTTTTCGACTTTAAAAAGTCAAAAACAATCGCAGTTCTTTTGCATAGGATCTTGTTTGTTGTTTGTATCGCTTCTCTCATAAAAGTCTAACAGTCTTTACGTAATCTTGCTATAGTCCAGCAAATGACACTCATTCTAACATTGGAAACCTCATGACAAGTCTATATATATGAGCGATCTGCAGAATCTGTAAGTGCAACAACTAAATAAACACTCGAACTTTTTAATAAAAAATTTGATTCTGTTGGTGTTCAAAAAACAAGTAAAAGCATTCGTCTCTTAATAAAAATGACTTGGTGTTTTTGGAACAGTAGTGGGACGGAAAAAGGTAATAAAATATCTAACCAAGGTCACATTCGGAATTTATTTATAATCCCGAATTCGCAATAGTACTTAATAGACGTCTCTTTGTTTTCTAGTTTAACAGCAACTTTGGCATCTATCGGTGCTGCAAGTATACCACAAGCTGGTCTTGTCACTATGGTTATTGTTTTGAATGCCCTAGGTTTACCGAGTGATGAAGTGAAAACAATTTATGCTGTCGACTGGTTACTGGATCGTTTTCGTACAGCTATTAATGTATTTGGGGATTCAATTGGTTGTGGTGTTGTAGAACATTTATCACGAAAAGAGTTAGCGGCATTTGATGAGAACGAGAATTAGAACGACAACAACAGAACTTGTTTTTAAGTTTTTTTATAAATTCCAGAGTTAATCGTATGACGTACAAAAGCTTTTCTCTTTGTAAGTTTTTTGTCTATATAGAGTTTGGAGCCAACACTTTCATGCAAGTTTAAGAAACGACGCTACTTTGAAGATAGAACCTTTATTCTTTGAAAAATTTTACTTATTTTAAAATAATTTTTTTCTCCTTAAATCTTTGTGAAAAATGTTCAGTACAAAAAATGAACGCATGATGGTCATTAGACAACTCATGTTGCAAACTTTCGCAGAACAAAAGGTAGCTTGGATAACTTTCGGAACATCGTTTATTCAGTGACAAAATCTTGGCTATTCTTCGGCTTTTTAGTACGTCAAAATTAAATATATAGCATAGAAAATGTGATTCGTTGCAAGCTTTCGATCGAAGCATAGACTACCGTCTAGCAAGTATTGATTCGAAATCATTATGAAAAACTAAGAAGAAAACGAAACGAACGGGCTGATTACTTTTCCTCATTAACTATCATCATCATCAACAATCTTATACTAGTTTTGAATGAAATGTCACTGTACGTCCAATGCCACAATGTTCATACTTCTTGTTATCACCGTTTCTTTAATTATCCGCTTTGTTTAATGTTTTTTAAAATGCGAAAACTGATGGTTCTTCAAAATTTCATTCGGGCCAGCTTCATTCTACTTGTTCCACTTTGACCATAATACATTTTTTCAGTCTTTACCTTCAATACCATATACCACACCAATCTGACTACTGTTTTTTTCTTTCATTTATTTAACAAGATGATTTAATATAGAATAACGAAAAACGCCGTCCCATCGCATTCTGTTGATTTTTCAGCGAACTACCTGTGATTATTTCGTCTCCGATTCAGCAACAAGTTATAAAATTTAAGTGTTTTATTCATTTCTCCAACAATCGAAGAAAACAATCAATAAAAGAGATAAGACATAGAAAAAAACCAGGGAATAAAGTATGTCTGTGTTTTATTTGCAAAAATTAACAGTTTTAACAAAAGTATTTACAACGACCAAGAACAAGATAAATAAGATTAAAGAAAAGAAAAAAAGACGCAATGTGTTTGATGTGTACAGTTGAATATAGTGTAATATACCGTGAAAATCTAAGTGGAGTTCCAAGCGGCCCAAAAGTGGAAATACCCCGACGACATCTTTGCGCCGTACAACGTAATACGACACGCTGATTCCGAATATGTAAAAGTCTCCAGGTACGCTTCTCTAGAAAAATTCATCAAATTTTGATATGAATCAGATTCCCTGGAATAAGAACGAAGGATTTTTCCAACTTCGTGAAACCGGACTTTTAAATTAAATTTTACTAAATTTTAAAAACTGTATTTTTCAATTTAAAAATCGAGTTTAATGAATTTTGAAACATCCTTCGTTCAAATTCTAGAGAATCTGATTCTCAATTGATTTCAGTGCCATTGGACTGGAGAGATGAGAGTTAAAGAACGCGGTACAATAAGAACGAGGATCGTCCCATTTCAGATCATCTCGAAAGGCATCTAGAATGAAAGAGCGTACAGTTTTATGGGGTTCTACACCCTTGGTTCCCCTTCGCATCTCATATCTGTCAGAAAATCCATCAGCTTTGAACAATAGTTCCTCCAGCCCATTCCGAGACCTTTTTCGTAATTTTCTCAGAATACAACAAGTTTGAAGGAAAGTCGCATATACCATTCGATGCAGCTTTAAACGGCGAACAAAACTATCTATTGCTCAATTATTATCTACACTGCTCACATCCACGTTTTTGCAATATAGTGTTAAAAATGACCTTTTCAGCAAAGTCCACGATAGTATTTCTGTTCTTTCACCATGAGAGGACCTAGATTGCGGTATGCATTATATATCAAAAGAAAGCTCTTTCCATACTCTACAAAATGGCTGGTAATTCATTTGTAGCTGAAAGTGCGAACACTCATTTTTTCGGATATTACTACTGCAGAGTGATGTTTTCGGCATCGACGGATAGGCTCGATCCATATAAAACCTACTACCATTTACATCGACCTTTGACGTCAGTGACAAGACCTGCATCGTATTATAGAGCTCAGCAAGCTGAAGTGAACGGTAAAAACAGCAAGTCTCTAGCCTCGTTGGAAAAAAACTTGTAGGCATTTTACTCTCGCATCGGTAAGATGCATTTTCTGGCGGATTTGGCCTAACTTGTAGAACGTCTGCTGACCACATTCATTAACGTAGACCCTTGAACTTGGTATCAACTGAAACAGCGCATCGAATTCTATATATTCCGATGAAGAAAACTTATGCTAGACCTCGGGGCCCTGATAAAGAAATTTCTGAAAAACCGGGCTTTTCAGAAAATCTAGTGACCTTAAAATATCTTTCAGAAGCTATACAACCACATTAATCGATAGTCCCTTCAATTCTCCACGAAATGAGATGTTGGCCATGTTTCTACGATCTTCGATGACAGAGTTCTAGGCTGCTTAACATTACAAATATTAACTCATTCCCTTTAATGCTGAATTTTTGATCTGGAGAGATATTTTAAGTTTTCTTCATCGAAATGTATAGAACTCGATGCGCTGTTTTATTTGATACCAAGTTCAAGAGTCTACGTTAATAAATGTTGCCAGCAGACGTTCTACCAGTTAGGCCAAATCCGCCAGAAAATGCAGCTTATCGATGCGAGAGTAAAATGCCTACAAGTTTTTTTCCAACGAGGCTAGAGACTTGCGGTTTTTTACGCTCTGAGACGATAATACATATCGTCTGCTTTTAGGTGAGTTTGTTTATTTTAATGTAAGAAACGCTCTTCACAACAATATCAGTTTAGATCTCACGAGTAGTGAATATTCGTAATAGTTAACGCCATAAACAATGATCGACTTTCATGTTCACCTATCATTTTATGTAACGACTATGATGCATATTTCATTTCGTCTCTCTTGCGCCAGTGTCCATGGTGGATTATAGTCAAAATACTGAATTTGGTCTTTCTTTGGTTCAACCTTTACTCCATCTTGTTCGACTGCTTTGCGTAGCTCTTGTTCTTTTTGAGCTATTGTATCCGAATACATATTTCCACTGAATCGTATACAAGCTAATCGCTGATCATTATCAACTTCAATTAGTTTCACTCGTTGATCAATTGGCTGTGGTAGTTGATTTAACGATGTGAATATCGATGGAGACATGATGAAGGCCATGTGTCGTTCGACATGATTACCACCAGTATTCTGCTTTGTCACAACTGGAGCTGTCATGGCTATTTTTTGTTGTTTTTCATTGAGACCGCTGATGTACTGAAACAATGGTTGAAATCCTTTCGCCGTATCTTGAAAAAAATCTGTATTCGGTGAGACATGATAAGTGTTTCGAGCCCACAGCTGTTTCTGATATTGTCGAATTTCATAGATATTTGTTTTTGTAATTATATCATACGATGGTGTTTCAACATCACCAAAAATCTTTGTTGCATAGATAACAAGGAATAGAATATAGCATGAATACGAGCGCATTTTAAATATTTTTAATTATTTTCTCTATTCAATAATTTCTACATATATATATATGCAGATGAAATACAAGTCGTTATATGCGTGAGTATGTCAACATGTATATATGACTCATTTTGTTTTTTTTCGTCTTAAAATATTTGCTGTGCCTATTTGCTTTGATCATTATTCATGTTTCAAAAATTATGTGCGCCGAATGACTTGTGATTACGCATACTGTTTTTATGTAACGTACTGCTAATAGATCACACGTTGCATTGCCGATACTTTTTGAGAATTCAGCGGTTGTCAAAAACTTTATCAAAGGCAAATAACTGGATTTCGTTTTGTAATTTTTTTGAATCTCGTTATATTATCCGACATAGAGAGTAATTGATCTGAGAGGGAAATCCTGTTACGCAAAACGAAATTATGGATTAATGTATTATTCGTTTAGTTGTTTGGAAAATTTTGTTTTTTGTTGCTCTTTTTTCAGAATTCTCGTCCTTTCGAAGATAGGTTGCAAGATTATAACTTGAAAAGTCCATTAAACCAAAAAACTCCGACGTCAAAAGAACCCTCAAAATGTGTCGTTGCTTGCTAAGCAAACTTCGCAACAACATGTTATGCATATACTTAGATATCTATCCGTATGGACAGATATGTATTTACATACCTGAGTGGCCATCTAATGGTCCCCTTCAAATCAGGAGGTTCAAAAGAACTTTCTATCTAATTAAATCGAGAGGCACATCACTAGATACAGTTTTTCGCGCTGATCGTGAAAATCAACTTTAAAGTTTTGTAATTTCAATTTCCTCATCTAGACATTTTCTTGAAAAAATTCAGAACTGAATATCTTCACCTTTGAGTTTAACCTTCTGAAATGAAACCATACAAAAAAGGATAAAATTCCGTCACGAAGGGCATTTTGACATTTTTATTCGGTAACTTTTGTATGGCTCAACGAATTCCAATGAAATGTTTTTGGGCAGTAGGACCTATGATTCTCTACCTATGATAAAAATTTTAGAAGATTTGCTTTCGCCGTTCAGGAGTTATAATTCGCAGAATGCGAAAAAATGAAATTCCGTCACGTTTGCCCGCGCCCGTACATTACACTATATATAAACAGATATGTTCATCCTATGCTTGGATGCTATTGTCTCGAAAAGGAAGTCCACTGTCCGTCGTAACATAGCCCAGTACTGGTGATTTGGCTTTTTGGTGATGGCTTGAGAGTGATTAAGCAAAACGAGAACCGTTGAATACATAACTTGCTTGTTGAGCACGATTTATTTGCCAAACAGTATGAAGGCCTCCAAAATGGGAACCTTATGGAATTGGAATCATATATGTTGGTTTTATTATTATTCAAGAAGTATGCTAATTAACGCACGAATAAAAATAAGCAATTGCGCTTATGCAAACCTTTGATACAGTTGACAGTGTTATAAGAAAAGAATTTACTTTGTCTAATAATGCCAAAAGGTTGACAGAGAGAGATACGACAAAAACGCTGTAGACAAAAGAAGACATCACGTAGATAATGCTATGAACACGCTCTGATTATGATCAGTTCATTGTGTGGATAGCACACCGACGCAGCTGGAGGGCGAAAAGCACAGTTATGTTTACCTTGCCCTCTCTCTTAGCTCCTGACGAGGTGCGTGTACCGTCAGGTCACTCACACTGCTATGTAAATAATTCGGAAGTACATGGCACTATCAAACTCCCACCAAACAACAAAGAACTACTATACGAAAGATAGAATGGATTATAGACTCACTTGTTAAAAATATAGCGGAGCCTGCTGCACTTACATAAAAACATAAAACTGATATATTGTGAAAGAGGATGAGTTAGGCTATCAATTCATAAAGATTTTTTTGGGTTTAGCCGGTTTTTGGCGGAAGAATTGTTTATTTTTTTCTTTGATAGGAGCTTCCGAAAGCGATGCATTTGGGAAAGTGAGCGCCCCTCCACATCCCCGCTCCGTTTTCGATGAAACGTTCAGCAATTGTTCCTCTATATGTGGTACGTCTATAGGGAATGCGCAAATGCTTTTAAGCGGTGTTGCAGATTTTACAAAAAACGTCAGTTTTCAGTGGTTTTTCGAGATTTTTTCCATTTTATGATACTCTAATTGAAAAAATAAGGACGTATTCGGAATCAGCGTAAAAGACTGCATCGAATGCCGTATAATTCATTGGGTTTTGGACATATACTTTTGAATCTTATCGAATTCTTAGATTATATGATCGACACGTAGAATTTTTTGCCCGAAAATTTAAAAGTCAAGATTTAAAATCATGGACGCTTCATGATTCACTAAAACCCATTCTCATTATTTGTACATTAATTCTCAACCAAACATTTTTTAGAAAATGTCTTCTTTAACGTTAACAGCCATTCACTCACATATACTAAGCTTCTCACGTTGTGTTAAGAGATGGGTTGAGAAAATGTTAGGTTATTTTCTTTTAAGATAAATCGAGCTTGCAATGCACAAGTAAGTAAACAAACCAATTTCACAAATGACTTTTTGAGAAGCACAGTATTCGACACATCGCATGAAAATTGCGGATTACTTGACTTGTGGGAAAAGAGTGACTCGAATCTGCTGGGTTTGACCGAGGGTGTTCTTCTTGTTGTAAAGGGCGTAAAAGGATCAAAAGCCTTCACTCCTCATCACAAACATATAATGTTTTCTAAACGTCGATATTGAGCTAAACACATCATTAGATAGTCCGCAGTATCTGCTGTCTGGATCCTATGTTATTTCTTCCTCATCGAAGGGGCATGGAGATTTTTAGAAAAGTTTTCTAAAAATCTTGAAAGGCTGACTTGTCGAAAAACATTTCCTTTGCGATAAAAAAGCAAATCCAAAGATACTTTCAATAACCACTTTCAAGAAATAGAGCAAATATTTCTGATCAAAATGAAATGTCCTTCAGCTCTGAATGATGCTCTCATCAAGAGTTATGAAAGTTTTGCTGAAAGTCCTAAAACATGCATCAGATACTGGCGCCTTCACTTAGGGCGTTGGTTCCGGCGTCAGGATCCTAACGGAACCTGCCGGATCCAACATCAGCACCTGTCCGAATTCTGTAAAATCCGGCAGCAACCGTGCCGGATTATGCCGGAAATCCATTGCCCAGAATCCGTGCCGGAAGATGTCGGAAAAGATCCGACCAGATCCGACATTTTCCAATCTCTTCCGCCCACTGAAAAAAATAATCAAAATTCATGCAAGATCCCGCGGGTTATCGTTATTAAAATATTTGGCGATGTTTCTTTACGCAGGATTTTTATACTGCGCTGACAGAACCCTGCATAGTTTATGTAGGGTCAGCCTGGAAAAAATCCTGCGTAAAGGTAAGAAACACCGCAAGGCTTTTTGACTGATTCAATCCACAAGTTTTTTCCCACGAGATCTGGCAGAATTTTGTTTTCCATGTCTATTCTGCGGAATAAAGCAATCTTTTCTCACCAATGTCTGTCAGGATGGCTGTGGAGGAAGTTGTCTGTATTTTATTTTTTTTGGGAAGTTAAGTACGTTTTTCTTATAAAGTTATAAAAAAATTTCTCGTGTTCAATAAACTTCTAGAAAACGTATACCTTAATATTTTGACTTTAACACGCATTTTCATTTGTACAAAACGAAACTATTAATAGATCACTGAAAAGATCTTTTTTATGTCAGGAATATTCTATTTTTTTCCATCAATAAGACATTAAAGTCATTAGGATGATCACGCTACTGTGAAAAAAAGATGTATAGCAAAGCAGGGATATCACACTATTCTAAATTTCTTCAGCTTCTCGTTTCGTCCCGTTTATTTTCTAGCATTCTATTCATTTTTTTCTATCAACTGTGTACTAATTAATATTAATATAAGTCATTAAAATAATGTAAGAAACTGATACATGGCTGATATATTCATACGTTGATACGTATCAATATGGACTAGTTCGTTCTTCTAAACCTGGATCAATAGCTATTTAATTTTAACGAAGTCATTTTGTATACTCCATGATAGAATTTAACTGTTTAATGGAAAAGCTTTTGCAAAGAAACAATACTCATGAATGAAACAATGGCAAGGATCTGACGAAACGAGAGGCTGAAAGTTTACAACAA